CAGTCCTAATGAGTTATATGGGCTCATTTTTCACTGCAATATAAAGTCCTGCACATTTTTGGAAACAGCACAACCATGACTAGAAAGAGACTGAACTCTAAAATGTCTTCAGTGCTGTATGACTCAATTATAATGCCATAAATCATGAAAAAGGAAAGAAAATTGAATTCCTTGATTATTTATTTTACAAAAACTGAAAAAAACCCATGAATCAGTATGTACAACATTTTCCCAAGTGCCCACAGGTGTTACCAATGCTGGATCAAAAAAAAAGTGGTGACTCTACATACTTTACTGCTTACATTTTTTAAAATTTGTTTCCATCCTCTCCTCTGTTCTGTGTAAACACAGCTTGCAGTTAGGCAGAAAAGTCTCAGGATTTTTGTCACATGACAGTTGGTCGCAGTTGAGTCACTCGTGGCTTCACAGTTGAAGGGAGGAGCACAGAATTTTTTGTTTTTTTACAGAATCTGGTTCAGGGAAATGGTTTATTTTTGGCAAAGAATTAGATGAGACACGTAGAATAAAATGATTTTGATGAAATGTTATGATTTTAAGCTTATATGTGGTTAATTTCCCCAAAGGAAACTGCACATTACACATGATTGGTTCAGGAACCATTAGAAAGTTAAAAGGCCTATGATTTTTAAAATGTTTTTCGAGTTTCTGGCTCTGATAAATGGTGCAAATTTTCTGATTTTCTTTTATGACAACATGCCTTTCACCCTTTGCTTTTCAAAGAATAGATTGTGGATTCACTGAAATCCTAAAATAGTTTTTTCTTTTATTTCAGAACGAAGTGACCATGCTAAAGAATGAGGTGACCCAACTCAAGCAGCTTCTCCTCACACACAAGGACTGTCCCATCACCACTATGCAGAAAGAGTCCCAAGGTTACCTCAGTGAGTAGCTCAAACCTAAACACAGACACACAAACACACACTTGGGAATTTGAACCAAAAACACACCATCATCTGTGTGCCTTAGCCCTGCAGTGGAAAGGTATAAACTGTACAGACGTTAAGTCTGATGGACACACAGCGACTGCCAAGACACTTCGCTCCACTGTGCTGCTGTCCAGCTCCCAAGCTCCCACGCTCGCTGTAGGACTCCTCCTTTGACATATGGGTGTTGCACACTCTGGTAGCCGGCCTGGACTGGGAGTTGGTAGTCTGAATCCCTCCTGAGACTTATTTTTCCATCTGACAGCACCTCTGCGCACAGAGGCAGCCGAGACGCAACGTGAGAAAGACATCACAGGCCGCACGTTGGCATCCAAACTCCCACGGATGCCCGGGATCTCACCGACTTTTTGGGACTGCGCCTCGGCTCGGCCACACATGACATCAGAGCCCCACCCTTTGATACGGATTCGAGTGACATTTCCATGTAATTAGGATAAGGCACCTCCCTGTGTGGCTTTAGCACAGGAAAATAAGGCTCACATCCCCCTTTGGCTGAATGGTTCTTTTATACAGGAGAAAGCCAACTCCCAAACTGGGCTGGAATGACTTTCATTGATGAGGCTAGCTTGTGTACAGATGTCACCTTCAGCGTGTCCAAAATTCATCAGGCGTGTTTACGGAGTTGAGTGATTCACTTTTCCACTTTTGTGTCATCCGCTATGGCCTATTTTGGGGGTGACACATGAGCGGTCAGGTGTGAATTTAGTGTGTTATTTGTTTGAAATACGTGTCTTTCTGCTAATAAAGCTGTCTTTTTTTACAATAACGACATTTGGTGCGTCTTTATTTTGTTTTTTATCATCACTGTGGTCGCAGCATGCACACTCGCACGCACACCTACCCCGCGCACACTGCACACGTCTTGAATAATGTCTAACTGCTGTCTCCTCAGGTCCAGAGAGCAGTCCGGCAGGCAGTCCAGCCCCAGCATGCTCCCAGCAGCAGGTCATCCAGCACAACACCATCACCACCTCCACCACGACCGTAGGGGGCAGCAGCGTGCACGGGCAGGCCAACCACCGCACAGACATTAACCCCATCCACTAGGGAACGAGAAAGACTATAACCTGGGCTGCAGCCATGAAACCCCACCCTCACCACCACCACCTCCTCCTCCTACCTGCTTTCCGAGGGGCCGCCAGCTGCACCTGCTGCCCCTTTTCCCTCCATCATGAAAAACCTCAAAGGCCTGTGAGGCTGCTCTTTATACAGTAGCTACAGTATCTATTTTTATAGACCTACTCTATTAACGCATAAATGTTCTATGGTTTATCGCCTCTCTTTTTTTTTTTTTTTTTTTAAATCTGCTTTTTTTGTGCTTAGCGGGAAAAGAGAGTTTTGCTAATCTCATGCACCGTTTCAGTGACTTTTTTTTCTGTTGTGTAATGGTACATAATTGACCACGGCGGTCATGGAACCAGAGGAAATCATCTCTAAAAAACAGATCTTACATCTCTAATATGCCTAATGGACTGAGTCAAATCATAGAATCGCAGAAAACTCTGAATGAGCGAGCGGGATGTTGCTACATTTTAGGTTGTTTTTCCAAACTGTCGCCATGATGTCTTGAAGACAGGAATATGCAAGCAGGTGTAACGATCCTTTCCTTTCCTTTCGAAACATATATGACTGTTAACGTTCTCCCTGTCAGCGGTATTCTTAAAGAGCTTTATGATATACAGCATGACAGTGAAAATACCATATGATCAAATGGAAGCAATACATCACAGTATTGATCACCTTCTCTACTGTATGCCCACATTATGATCAGAGTGGCCAAGGACATACGATGCTGTTACAGCTACAGAACTGTACACTGTGATAACCGGTGAGGCAGCTCAGGAGTTGAGATCAACTCCTCCGCTCTCCAGGACCAACTGAAGCTTTAATCATTGAGGCCTCTTTTTAATTTTTTTGTGCGTGTGTTTTGCATTTGGATCCACGTTTTCGGATTCCAAGCTGATTGTGTGCGTAGTTTTGCATGTGGTAAAATTTTCCTTATTTCCTCTGCAGAACAAAGTTCAGCAGGTGTGTTAGGAAGAAAAAAAAAAAAGCGTGTGAGAACATTTCTGAGCATCCTGTTTTGTTTTGTTTTTTTTTGTCTGGCATCTCACAACTTAGAGATCATGTCTGTGCTTTCCAAGATGTCACAATGTGCCTGAATCTTTCTTAAAATCTTTTCTTTTAAACCACCAGAATGATATTTTTTTTCCTAAGCAGTCTTTTGTTATTGGCTTTCTCAGATGTCTGTTGCATGTGAGGCCTAGAACTCCTCTGTTGGCAGCGGATACAGGCCTGACCTTTTCTATCTCCCTTCCAGCCTCGAAACTCAATGCCTTCTCATGTTTTGTTTTTCCTTCTTCTTCTTCCCTATGACCAGGAATGTCAATTCATTAGCATGATGACCATAATGCACTGTGTTTTACAGCAGGATGGATGAAATACATTCCACTGACAGGTGGAGCGATCGCAGAGCTGTCTATGCACTTTGTCCTCTGTCGTGCCAGAGGGTAGAATAGCCATATTTAAGGTCAGAGTAATTCTCAGCGATTCCCCCCCTCCTCCGTCTTCACACACCAGCGAGAAACTAAACTGTGTTTGGCTCTATGGAGAGAATGTGCCTGGCTTGAATTACATGCCTACAGATAAAAAAAAAGGAACCTAGAGCTGCAAGAATCGATTAAAGGACCCAGCACCGTTTAATTAACCTCGTCAAAGATGAGGAAAAAAACTCTCGTAATGGTTTACATCCTAGCTTTGCAGAGGCATTTCAAGTGTTACGGCATTTCTTAACCTTGGAGTCTTGAGTGTGCAGTTCAGTCTGTGACGATGATGAGTGAGAGAGATTCTCTCGAAAAGGGCTTTGTTGTTGTTGTTGTTGTTGTTGTACCAACCGTCTGAACTGAAGCTTGCCTTATTGTTTTCTTTTATTTAGATCAAACCATTCCAAAAATTAACCTCTTGCATGTGAAAATGTGGCAATGACCTCAAAAATACTTTCAACTGGAATCATTCATTTTGGACAGCGGATCCAGGTTTCGAAAAAAAAAAAAAGAAAAAAGCATTTGTTACTGTATAGGCAGACAAAAAAAAAAAAAAAGGACAGATGGAAGTGCAGCGTGAGTGTGTCTGTGTGGATTTGTGTGAGAGAAAGAGAGGTGGAGAACAATTCCTACATATTAATGATGTTGTAATTGTATTATTTTAAATCTAAAACTATAAATATTGTACATAATATCATTAATTTCTATAATCCTGTACATGTAATGCAACCACCTTTCTTTTCGAAGGGAGTATAAATGTGTGGTACGTGTGTAAATAATGTTTGCATAGCACTTGTTGCCTTCTGTTGTATGTCGAGGCTCATTTCAGCGCTTAAATACATTGTCGATATGTAATGAATCCATTCTTGCCTGCATAACTTTGTACATTTTTTTGGTGGTTTGGTTTTTTTTGGCGCGTGTGTGTGTAATTACATCGTCTCCATTTTATTTTGCATTTGTACAGATGTTTAAAAAGTATCACTGCAGTTACATTACGGTATGAAAAATAAAGCACTTGTTCTGTAACATACAATTAACTTACACGGTTAAGACGTCGTCGTTCTTGAAACGTGGCGACACACTTTTTCTCCGAACAGATGAATTCGGAGAAAGAATCAAACGGCATTTCCCCGATGCTTGTCCTTGACAAATAACTGCTCATTAAATAGTTAGATGCTTTAAAGGTTTAGAATACTCATTAATTATTGAACTGTCTAGACAGCTTGATAGATGCCTGATGAAATAACATGGCAGTTAACTCTCGTACACAAACATCTTGGAGGAATCCTGTCAAAGTGCCAAATCACTACAGTTCCAATTAAATCTTAGCCACAGCAATGAAGCGAAAACCAACTAAATAAACAACATTGCGTAAGAATTCATTTCCGCAGACTACTGTTGAAACACACGGAGGAACATCTGCGCTGGAATAACTCATTATTTTTCAAGCATGATCAAAGATTTAATGATACAAACTTTTTTTTTTTTTTTAAATTCATTGAATGACTAAATTGGGAAGCATTGAGCGGCACAGTAACCGCTGCTGTACAGCTTGTTGATTAAGTAAACAGTACTTTCACATCTGCTGTCATCTTTAAAACAGACCGTTACTAGAAAAGGTTGTCAGACTGCAAAATTCAGTCTGACATGAAAACACTCTGACGTAGATATGTGTCTATATTTCAAGCCATTTCTTCACTTGTAAGGTTTTACAGTGCAGTGAAAAAGTATTCGACTATTGCATACTAAACTATCAGATTTTTGGGGGGGGTTTACTCATTTATGTTTGAAGATCTGACAAACTTTAGTATGAGATCAAGTAAAAACAATCAGAAGGGGGTCAAATACTTTTTCAAACCACCGTTTTTTTTGCATTTCGCCTTCAATCATGTACAGATAGAATACAATATTTCTTCACACCAATCCCAAGAAAAACAAACATGAAATGAATCCCCAAATCTTAGAGAACTTGAAAAAAAAATAATAAAAAGGTGAAGCCTGGAGTTTATTCCATCTCCAATAACCAGCAGCCTTCTGCTCAACCATCTCTGACTTGCTTGAAACTTTATCATAATCTATGAATATTTAAGATGGCATCTGTTAAATTTATGCCAAGTTTTCTCTGAGATTTTTATTTTTTTTTTAAGTTGCCTGACACTTTTTCACACAATGAAATATAAGGCTATGTTTAACATCCAGTTATTTTCTTATCATGCTATTATTTCAGAAACTGAACTCTGGGGAAAAAAAGGGCCAAAAAGGGGTTGACAGGCAATTTTAAAAAAATAAAATCTCCACAAATGTCTTTATTAGCATCCATACTTTATGTTATTTTAGGGAAATAAAAGATGGTCGAGCAGAAACTGTTCTAAAAATCGGACCATTTGAGTTGGACTGACCCATATTTACAGGGTTAACATGGACCGGATTTACTGCTCCCACTGCCTCCTCTTCAAGCATCTCCCGTCCTTCCCTATGCACAAGCACAAACGTGCACAGTACACGCTGGAATAGTGGTTTGTGAGCCATTTTTTCCACTTACAGATCCAAGGCTATGTACAAGCACACGTAAAGAAAACCAATGGACTGTGTGGAGATTTTGGCCAAATTTGCCAAAAAGCGTTCTGAATTAGAATCACTGACCGTAACTTTGCCCTGAGAATTGGACTGAACAGAGAATTTGTTGGCACTTCTATGATTTTATTCGCTAAAACAAATATAAAACTCTTGCAGCAACTCATGGGTCTGGATCCAGGCTAAGAATAGAGCAGGGAGCAGACCAAAAAAAAAAAACTCCAAATGCTTCATATTTAAAAAAATAAAAAATAAAATAAAAACCTGCTGCAAAGATGGATTTAAACACATGCTGATTTACATTGCTTCCGACAGTCAGCAGACTTTAAAATCAACAGTCCATGATCAGTGTGTTCTTTAAAGTGAAGGTGCTTTGACGGGCTGTGTTTCAGCGCCGGTACCTCTCATACCCAACCCTGCGTAGACAAGAACCTGTCGATCATGTCGAAGGACCTGGCTGGTTGGTCGTAAGGCAGAATGTGTCCTCCTCCTCGAATAATCACCTGAGGGACACAAACAGTCAACAAAGTCTGAATTCTCTCAACAAGCATTCATGATGTTTATTCCTCGTTCTACCGGCCGCTCACCTGGTAAAACTCCCCGACTTGTCTGACATAACCCGCCACCTCCGTGTCCTCGGGCTGAACCTTCCAGTGGAACCGAGGGGCTGTTTTGTACTCGGCGGCACCGGTCCAGTTCACAGTGGGAAGGAACCTCTCGGTCAGAGGAGCAGCTACAATTATATCCAGCTGGCCGCTGTAGATTAACACCTGGACGGATATAAAACATGTGTCAGAATATTTAAAATATATCAGAATATTATGATGAGCCAAACCCAAGAAAGTATCTGTTTTCATATACAATTTTATGTCTACGCATACGGTTAAGGCTTAAATACAGATTCTCAGATTAGAGTGTACAAATGGGAGCCAATATGTACAGTTAAGGCCAAAATTATTCATACCCATAAACCACATTTTGATTTATAGTGACTTTTTGTTTGATCAATAGGTTGGAAACGACATAAACAAACAGCAAGTGACAGTAAAACATTGTTCTAGAGATTAGACATGTATTTTCTTTTCACATTTCTACTAAAAACGCCATGTCCAAAATTATTCATACCAGTAATCAGTGTCAGAACCACATCAGACAAACACTTCTTATATTCACTAACAGTCTTTCTTCATGTCTCCACTGGGATTTTGTTCCCTTTTGTGTCCATCTGCAGCTCTTGGAGCTTGAAGGCTTCCTCTCCATCACTCTGCTCTTCAGTTCCTCCACAGGTTCTGGATGGATTCAGGTCTGGACTCTGTCTGGGCCGTTCCAGCATCTTCTCATTGTTTTCTCTTCACCACTTTGGCTCCATGTTTCACATCATCGTCTTGTTGAAGCTCCAATGCTGCCCAATGTTTCTGCAGACTGCCTGATGTTCTCCTCCACACTCCTAATGTGTTCCTTGGACTTTTTCATGATGCTTTGCTCTATGGCCACTGGCATTTGGATGTTATTTTATAGTCTTCCCGGGTTCTGAGCAGCAACTCTCTCTCAGTGATGGGCCCTAATAGCAAACCTTTTAGTTTTAGCCATGACTTGCAATTGACTGGTAACCGATGAGAGACCTATTGCATCAGCTGTTCTCAGTTTGTAGTGTATTAGAACGCTCCAGAACATGGCAGAAAATGACCAGGAATGGTACAAAAGCTGCATTTTCTCAAAAACTGACATTTTCAAAAGGGTATGGAGGGTTCTGGACATGGCTTTTTTTTTTTAGTAAACATTCATAATAACCAAGAAATAGCTCAAATTTAACAGTTACATCTCTGTATACATGATGTCTTGTTGTCTATTGTCACTCTTTTATGTCATTTCCAGCCAGAAGAAACCTATTGGTCCAATAAAAAGTTATTATAAATTAAAATTTGCATGGGTATAAACAATTCTGGCCTTATTTGTACATATTTGCTTCCACTTGTACACTCTGCAACTGAACATGTTTGGACAATCTTCTCACCCTGTAGTTGTCCATCAGCACCCCCAGCCACGGTTTGATGCTCTTCATGACGTCCTGCATGAGGTGCTTCTCCACCTCCGAGCCGTCGTGGAACGTGAGGTTGCCCACGTGGATGGCCTGTCGCACCGCTGACAGGGTCACAAACGGAGCGAAGTACTCCTGGTCCTCAGGCTCCTGTGGTGCACGCGGAGACAAGGAGCGACTGTTCAAAGCAATAACTGGCTTATTTGTGTGAAAAGACCTCAAGTTCTGCTCTGAGAAGCTCTTAGTACCCGACATGTCATGAAGTTGTAGTAGTTGGTGCAGCCTGTGGCATTCTGGAAGAAGGAGGGATATGGCGCCAAGTCGCCGTTCAGCAAACTATCGAAAACCTGAAGGAAGAGAAGCCAACAGTTAGTTAAGTCTCAGTAAGATATTTGATTTTCTTGATCCTAGTTTGAATGTTTGTTTCAGAAATATAGGAAAAAATCCATCTATGACATGCACGCCCCGAATGATGACAACTTCCTGCAAATCTTGATAACAATAGATGAGAAACAATATCAGCTTGTGTTCTGAGAAATCTAAGAGACACCGAACATCTGCTACCTGAAAGGCCTCCACCCACTTCTGCTGCTGGATGAGCTGAACGCCCAAACCCGTCTGCTTGTCAACATACTGCTTCTGGAGTTCATCTATGAGTCCTATTTGATACAGGAACTCTCCGTAGCCACCGAGCATCTGACGCAGGAAAGAAGGGAAAATATTCATTCCACATCTGCAAACCAACAACACCTGACAGCATCGGACAGAAACTCTCAGCATAGGAACCAGTTTTATTACAGAAAACTTAAGATTGTTTGGAGATGAGATGAAAAATAAGACGACTGACACGATGAGAATTTGGATTAAAGACAAGAAATGAGATGATTTTATGGAGGCAAGTTCAACACAATTGGGAGAAATGTGTACGTGAAGGAGTTAAATGAATGTCAGACAATGAAAGTCTGGATACGCACCAGTTCTGGATCACAGAGTCCATCACCGATAGCCATCCCCTTAAAGTTGATTTTCACCTTAGCAGTGGGGTTGTTCTTATGGATGTAGTAAGAAATGGCGGGAACGTACTTCCCTGCATATGACTGCATGCAGAGAGAGAAAATATGAACAAGTGAGGACAATATCGTGCTTTCTGGTCCGATCTGAATAATTCTTTTTTAGTTCTTTGTTAAATTCTCACCACAAATGAACTTTCACTGTTCTTTTTTTGTCGATTACTTCATAAATGGATAATCGTCTATTTTTTTTTCTTTTTTCTTTCTTAAATCGTTAACGTCTGGGTTGTTGCTTCTGAATTTTATTTTTGAGCAAAAAATAAAACATGACTCAATATTTCTAATTTTCCATTTTGCGCTTGTGGTTGGACCGTACCATCAGAGCCAGCCGGGGATCCAGCAGTGCAGCCGTGTTCTGCATGTGACCACGCAATAATTCATGGGTACCCTATTTTTGGAAGGGTTTTGTGAAAATGACTTAAAGCCTGGAGCCACAGGCCAGTCTATGCTGTTGGTTGTTTTTATATAGAATAAACAAAGAGCATCAGCCTTTTCCTCTCTATCCTCCCTCCGGCAAATGAAGCAGAGAGGTAGCGTGTATGCAATGATACAAATCCTTTTAGCCTAAATTATCGGCTAATAAATTAATGAATGAGTGAGCAAATAATTTAATTAATGGCTGGATAAATAAACAAAATGAAGCCAACATGAATGGAATAATGTTATATAAAATATGTAGGTCCCTCCCCTGGGTGCCAATGGTACGATCCAACCACAAGCGTATAACCCCGAAATGGAAAATTAGAATAATTTGTCAATTCATATTTTTGTTCTAAAATCTAATTTTGAAACAACAACGCAAAGATGAGATCTTAAAATTGAACCGAAAACACAATTTTGTGAAGTAATCAAAACAAAAGGAAAATGAAAGTTTTAAAGCTATTTTTCTAAACAAATAGCTGCAAAGTGTAACAAAGACACATTATAATATCGTCTGACACATCTGGGCTTTAGCCAAAATGTGCTACAAGTCATCAGTGACTATTTTTTCAATGTGTAAATATCCACCTTTGTGATACTGATACTTTCAATGTACAGCTTTTATTATTTTTGCAAAGAATAAAAGGAAAAACTCACCTCTCCAGTTGCATAGAAGTCACTGGACTGATATTCAGGAAAGATCTGGAAGAACTGCGTTAAAGCGCTTTTAAAAGAAGAGAATGGAACAATAAAAGAGTTAGTGACGATCCAACCCCAGCATTAAAGAACCCAAGAGAAATATTTGCTCTGGACGGCAGCGTTCCACCTGTACAAGTCTCTGCCAACGTCATCCTGGTTCTGAGCGAAACCTCTGTCATCATCGGTGAAGCTGAAACCTGTTCCAACCTAAAAATAACACAAGACAACAAACACAAAGTTGGGAAACACTGTGTGATTGTTCTTTTGTTTCTGCGATGGGGATGAGAAAGAAAGACGTACCGGGTTGTCGATGTACAAAACTGAATATCTGTTTGTCCAGGCGTAGTCCCTCATACCGACTGCAAAGACAGAGAAACAAAATGATGCTCCGACACAAACTATACAACAAACACATCACATCTGCTGCTGTTGGACCAAATCAGTTCTTACCCGTCAGGTTCTTGTACACCACGTAAGGCCCGTGTTCCACAAACAGGCCGAACATGGAGGTGCCTCCGGGGCCGCCCTGCAGCCACAGCAGGACCGGAGCGTTCGCTCGGTTAGCCTGTCGGTCAGATCAGGGGACAAGAAACGTTAAGATCTCAGCGCCATCTAGTGGCCACTTTGGGTCATTAACAAAAAGGTGGATTGTAACACACTTGATCTTAACAGTGCTGTTATCACTCAAGTTCTGGAGTAGAGATAAGAATTACACTGGCTTTGGGTTAAGGCCACGATCAGGTTTGATGTAATCAGACTGCAGAGAGGTGAAAACTAATCAGAGGACTATCTGCCTTCAGACCCGTTCTGACATGCACTCTTGTTAATCCGACAGCATTCTTCTGTGTAAGTTGCCACAGCGACCTGACAAAGTCGGGCCTGGTAACAATTCATCATCATCATCGTCGTCTGACCGGCATCATCTTAAATGGTTCGCCACACAAAAAAAACCAAACATGCTTCAGGTTGTTTGAAGCTATTTTGGTGAGTCTTTTCCCACATTTCAGCACCAACAATCAGTCCAAAAACGTCACTGACGGCGTAAAACACAGTTTGCTGCCAAAAATCACCAAACACCAACAATTCACATCCATTACAAACTCAGTTGTTGATAAAAATAAAACTCTACTGCAATGAAAACAGAGATTAAAGTCTCAGAATAACAACACTCACCAATAATTAAAGCAATCTTGGGATTTTTTTTGGGCAAAATGCTACCAGGAGCTTTGTTTTTGTTGCTTCCAGCTGTTTGTAGGAGTCTTTGCTTTGAGTTCAATAAATACCTGCAGCATCAGACAGCAGCAGGATCCGCATGAGCGTCTCCAAATGTGCACTTATGCAAATGGAAAGACAGTAGCATATCAGAAAAGGGCTTTATACTGCTAATATCCATCCATCCATTATCTATACACCACTTAATCCTCACCAGGGTCACAGGAGGCTGGAGTCTATCCCAGCTGACTCAGGGTGAAGGCAGGGGACACCCTGGACAGGTAACCAGTCTATCACAGGGCTACACTTAGAGACAGACAACCAAGCACACTCACATTCACACCTATGGACAATTTAGAATCACCAATTAACCTCAACACGTTTTTGGACAGTGTGAGAGGAAGCCGGAGAACCCGGAGAGAACCCACGCTGCACGGGGAGAACATGCAAACTCCACGCAGAAAGATCCCGGGTGTCCTCACCGGGACGCGAACCAGCAACCTTCTTGCTGGGAGCCACCTTGCAGCCCCTACTGCTAATAAAATATAACATAATAAATATCTATTAGCTCCATAAGCGACTGTAACCGCCATTTCTCATCTGGGAAAACAAGTAACTACATTCAAACAGCAGCACTCTGGGCACAGCATAAGTTGTTAAAAACACTTTTCAAAATAAAAGTCTGCATCGTGGCCAACCATGGATATCTCCAGTGATGTCTGGTATGTAAACATATAGGTGATACGTTTGGTAAACTTTCTCTGAATAAAACTTCTCCATGCTATGGCTGTATTCATAGACGATGAGCAGGAAGGATAGAATGCAAGTGACTGAAGTCTGAATTTAGCTGATGGGAGCGGAGCTGATTTTGAACTACAAAACAAATATTACAGAGGTTTCACACAACATCTGCTATCATGAGACAGCAGGTGACTTTTGATAAAACTCCTGGTTACTGATTTGTGGATTTTACAGTAAAGGCTCAAGCTCCCAAAATAGGTAGGGAATTACTCACTCCAAAGTACTCATTCGACAAAACAAAACCTAATCTGCCTCCATAGCAGGCATTCCCGAGCTGCAGCTGACCAAACACGCACGGTGCAATCACAAGACGACAACGGGGGGCAAAAGGTAAAGGGAGTAAAGAGCTGAAAAACACACAAGAACTGCAGAGCTTGCAGAAATGTCATTTAGAAAGGAGAAGTTACCATGAGCGCAGGGAAGAACCAGAAGAAGAGGTTGCTGTTGTATTTTTTGTTGACTGTGAGGTATCCGGCGTAACTCTTGACATTAGCTCCGGGCAGTTTTCCCACCAGACTCAGCTTCCTGGCTGCAAGAATGAGATTTTGACATGTTGATGAACACATTAAACAAAATATACATACATTAGCATGAGAACAGATTTCAAGCAGCTTGTTTTATAATCTTGATTTTACAAGTCTGTATCCTGTCTTGCTTTGTGGACATATTTCAGTTTTTGCTGCCTGTCTGACAGCATGTTCAGCACTTTGGTCAAATCACGTTGCTTTAAACACGACATAAAAATAAACTTGATTTGATGCGGAGGATCGGTCCACCTCAGTTATTTAGATTTATATTAGATTTGTTGATTTCCCCACTGTTACATGTATCAGCAGGGATAGTATGAAAAAAGCTGATTTACAGGTGAATAATAATTAAAAATATAATTATAATAAAATATAAAAATAAAGAAGTGTATAGTGTTTTTCTGTGCTTTCCAATTTTACTTAAAAGAATATAAAATTATGCAACTACTAATAAAAAAATCAAACAAACATAAAAGATCATGCAATATAAAATAAGCAAGTCAACATTTTTATTTTTTTATACAGCACATTTACGACACCAGCAGTTACGTCAAGTCCGTTCCGGTAACAAAAAAAAGATTACGATTGGTGTCATAAAAGTGACATAACAAGTGCAAATATTGTGGTTAAGATCCTGTGGTGTCATTTATGTTGTGATTTTACCTGCTTAAGTTACACATTTGAGGTTAGAAGCCTACAAAATGACATAAAAATACCACCTCACCTGCTTATAATACATATTAGGTTAAAAAAAAAATACTTGAAAGCAAGAAAGAATGCCTGAGAGCCTCATTGCACTATATCCCCTTATATTTCAAATTGCCTTAACATAAATCAAGACATTTCCACCATAAATTTAGGCCAAAAAAGTGCACAAATTGGTGCATAAAAATTCACCAGAATGCAGAAAAATGTCATGCATGTTTGAAAGAAATCTGCAGCCTAATTGCTGGTGGTGAAATGTGATATTATTGCTAGATTAGACTAAATTGCACTTTATTTTTCACCGTTAATGGGGAAACTCACTTGTTGTAGCAGCATAGATACAGGAAAGAGCACAAAAAAAGTGACGGGAAGAAAAAGAGAACAAATAAACTATAAATAGGAAGAGCTGAGAAATGCAATACAATGGAGCTGTTATAGTCCACATAATGGATACTATGATATATTAAAAAAAAAGATAAATTTAATAAAAATCTGGCACAATATTAAATTGCACTTAAGTGTGATGTATTGGGTATAATATAGTATATTATACAAGGATGGACAGTTGCAGACTTATTGTAGTATCCTGCACCACTGACTGTGTTTTCTACCTTCATCTATGGCGCCCTTCTCCAGATAGGGGGTGAGGAACAGAGGGGAGCCCGGGTCCACTCCATCTGGGCCGCTGACGGAGTGAGATTTCCGGCAGAAGAACGTGGAGCAGCTCCGGGAGTGCGCAGAGTCCAGACAGGCCCACAGTAACACGAGAGACACAGTTTCCAGCAGCAGCCTGCCAACATTTACAGCAAAGCCTATCAGACTACAGGCCCGAGCGTCCATAGGTGAAGCTCCAGCACCGCAGCTCCTCTCACGTTACAAAACAGTCCCACCACAGAGAGCCACGCTGCTGCTGCGGCGGAGGAGCAGGAAAAGTACGGAAAGCTCGTTTTTAATGAGTGAAAAAAACAAACTCACCTCATCTTTACTGTCGGTTCTGTGGAGCTGGGCCGAGTTTCTGCCTCCAAACACAGCTACAATCACAGTGTGAGGCTCCAACCAGGTGGACTGCTGACAAACTGTGTGCACAGTCAGACTGAGTCACATGACCAGCTCTGTGTTGGTCATGTGACGCGCCGGGTCACGTGGTTGAGTTCCTGGGTTTACAGCCCTGAGCTCTGTCTTGAAGGAAACCCAACAAATTCACTAAAACTGCTGCTCAAAATGGAATTTTACTTTGATTTGTTGGGAAAACAAATAACAAAAATAAACCTACGGTGTTTTCCCCCTTTTTTTTTTTTTTTTTTTACATTTCTTTGGCTGTAATTTATGCTCAACAACTTTAAAGCTCATGACATTGTCTTCTCACAAAGTCAAACTAAAACATACAGTATGTGCAGCATGCAAGACAATTATTTTTAGTATGTCCCAATGCGCTGTGCCAAAATTACCAGGATGTCCTACTAGGGCATCCTGCTTTGACCCACAATCCTCTGCACAGTGGAAGATGGGTCACATGTGTCATGTTGTCTTGATTAAGTAACAAGCGTATACTGTATATAAAAGATGGATGTACCTTTGACCTGCATTCCGTTTAATTTCTGATTTTCATTAAAATCTGTTTTTGTTAACTTTTATGGAATGGCCAGTTCAAATCATACAGAGACATCCTTGCAGTCTCAAAAGGCTTTACCATAGACTGCATATAAAGTTGAATTTAGCCTCTGATTCCAAAAAAAATAAAAAATAAAAATTAAGCCAATGCAGGAGTGCCTTAAACCTCCATCCTCTCTCATGTCCAGCAGGGGGAGACTCCTCTGGGTGAAAAAAGAATTCTGATAGTATAGAAGTCTGTTAGAAAATTAGCCTACTTCTCACTTTATCTGTTACCTCTGTAAACATTTTCTTCATGAGTTATTGGTATCAATTGCAAGCTTTAAGACTGTTTGAATATGGCATGATGTGCATTTTGTAAATCATCTTAGTTAGAATAAATCACGAGAGAAAGTAGGGCGTGTTTGTGATTGACAGGTTGTGTCGTTCTTGGGTTCTCCGGTCTCATCCACCAGTTGCTCATGATGTCAGGTTTCAAAAGTTCAACATGACGATGGCCGGATGCCAAACTCAAAGCTTCCTAATGGTGAACCACAAACCAATGGGTGACATCACTGTTGGCGCATCAAAGTTATTTTTACACTCTGTGGTGAAACTAGATGGCAAAATCAGAATCAACATGGAATTTTTTTCAGGCAGGAGCACTGAATCTATGCTTATTATGACTGATGCTGAATAAACATTGGATTTTCAACTATAACTGACCATCTACAGGCAGACTAAGCTATATTTTGGCCAGTCAAGTGGACTAGTATGTCCCAGTTGTGTGCACACTGCACTGCAGTAGTATGTACTTAGTAAAAGCAGCTGTGGTATGTATAGAAAAGAAAAAAGTATTAGATTGGAAATGTAGGGTTCATCTGTCTACTAGTTTCAGAGCTCAAATCCCTGGAAATACAACATGACCACATGATTAAGACTCAACAATAAGGAACACTAATGTATTCTTTGGAGGAATAAATGAGGCACTTGCTGCTAGTTAAACATCAGTTAATGGCTAACTCTTAATCAAGTTGTATAGAGTAGCAAATGATTCGTTAATGACTATAGTGAGTAAGAAATAAATGAAGAATGACTTTATAATGGATTAATCAGGGACTATAAAGTAGATAATGATCAGTCACTAGAGGGCAGACTGGGAGATAGTAGACTGATGGATCATTAGATAATGATTAGCTGATGAATATCTGTTAATTAGCCATACTGAACTCTTTAACATTCATCACAGGATCATGCTGAAGTAATAAGCGACTCCTTAGTATTACACATCACTGCTTGGGATGCAACAACAGCAACTAAAAGGGAGTGAGGAACCTCTCAGATATTCGTGAACTAATGATTCAATACAGTATCTCCCAGTCTGTTCTCTGTTGTCTAGTTTATAGCCCTCTATTAAAAATTGCCTTCTTCATATCAGTCAGTCATCATTTCACAATTAACTAATTATTACTCTATTAAATTTGATCAGTAGTTAACTTATTGGTTAACTAGCAGTTACTTCCTCATTCATTCCTTATTGTAAAGTTGTGTATTATTATTATTATTATTATTATTATTATTATTATTATTATTATTATTATTATTATTAT